CATTTAAAGTAATATTAAAAACAATTAAAATGATTAAAAAAATAATATTATAATTTTGCATATCTATAGATTATTGTGACCACAACATATACAGAATACACATATATTTCTGTAGGACCACAACTTCCTACAGAAATACAGTGTGCATACTTTAGTTCCTCAACAGCAGTTGATGCTTGCATTTTTGTTTATCTCAGGATTAATTTGTACCGCATTCAATTTTGAGGTGTGACAGATCTACAAGTTGAAGCTGTTAGCTAATTTTCAGCGAAGCGTCCCTGGCGTGAGTGCAGATACTTGAAGAGGACAGGCTGTCATCTACTGAGGCTGTAGCATTAGCACAACTGACAGACTGAAGAGGCCATGAGGATGGTTGAAGTGTGTGTAAGTTTTCTGTGTGTGCATTTAAGAGTTTCTGGAAGGCCTGATAAGGCAGAGTGATACCAGAAGTGTGACACAAACTGTACCTGCCATACGGACTGTGTACAATCACTGACTGCTAATGCAAGAAGGTAATTTCAAATATGCTCATTCACACACATCTACGCACTCACACACACACACTAACAGAAACCAACATAGATTTCTCTCAATGGTCAATGTACCTTATATGCAATAAAAGTAATCAAATATCAGCAGCAATCACACTGAACAACATATTAACCCCAAAGCAAACATCAGGGGTAAAAAAAAGATGAACATCACATAAATTGATTTCACTTGTGTCAACCATATTTGGAGAAAATAAATGATTTCACTGCACAAATGGGTTTCTTCAAAGGGAGGTTCTGGTTGAAGACCCAGCGGTCTGTTATTCAGACCCTCTGAAGAATTTCATGCGGATGTCACACAGTGTAACATTGGCACAGACGTAATGTTCCTGAGTACGGATGAACCACAACAACAAAAATCACCACCACAACAACAACAACAAGAAAACAACGGGAAAAAATAAACATTTAAAATAAATATCACAAACTTGCCAGGTAGTTTGCTGCGGTCACCCCCGGGTATGTTAGATCAAACCGGGTAACCAGCGCAGGCTGCAGGCGAGAAAATACAAAAGAGCATCACCAGCATGTCAGCTGCACTCAGGGAGGGAAGAGAGAGGCTGAAGAGACAGGATGAGAGAAGATGAAAATGCAGACATAGTGCATGAACCATGAGAGGAAGAAAGGAGGGAAAGGAAAACAAAAGATGGCAGGATGAGGCTTTGATTTCAAGGTTATTTTGGCTCTGACCCCCTAAGATGACCTTCCGACCCTTGCTGCACACGAACGGTAAAAGCAATCTGAGGCTGTTCACACAGCGCGCGCTCTTGCTTTCATAAACAACTAGACGGAGAGGAATGGAATAGAATGCAGGGATCTCAAAATGAAAAGTTGAATGCATTTAACCCAAAACTAAATTCTACGCTCATGGCATAAGATGCTAAAAAAAAACAGTTAGATGCGGCATAGCGACTAAAGATGTCTGCCTGATGCATGTGTATATAAACCAACCACTTAAAAATAACGTAAATAGAACGTAAGAGCATGTCTTGTGTGTGACAGTGTTTTCACCTGTATCCCTCACCTTGCTTTGGGGAACAGGAAGTGAGAGGAGTAGGTCAGTACAGGGTTTTTTTTTGTCCTACTGACAAGTAACATCCTGCGCCTGAGTGACGACGAGAGTTTGCTCTGAGAAATCACGTCTGCAGGATAGAGGTTGTTATGTGACTGGGGGAGAAGCGGCTGTTGGCAAAATAGAAAGATTGAGGTCTTAAAACACTGTCTGCACAAGAGATGACAGTGCAGAATTCTGATGAGCCTAATGCTTCAGACAGGTCTATACACTCTGGAATAAAATCATACTCTCCCTCAGATCAAATAAAAGCAGAGCTTTTGAATCATCTGCAGACAATCAGATGAGGCACAGGCTGTTAATGTCTCTATGGCAGAGAGCGTGACTCCAGCCGGGCCATATCTGATTACAGAAACACAGCAACAAAAGCTTTCAATTCTGAAATAAATAAATATGGTTTGTATCTGGCATTTTTCATGACTGTGTCTTATAAATCTTATACTGTGTCTTATAAATCTTGCTGACCCCAAATTCCTTTTTCAAATTCAATAAATAAATATTAAAATAAAATAAATATAAATAAATCTGTAATTGTACTAGGATTTAAAAGGTGGAATGTCTAAAACAGAGATTCATTACCTAAATATTTGTTAAATAATTATTTTTGATGATTTTACTGTGTCTGACAAACACAGTACAAAATAACCTACCTACTGCCACAGTCAAAGAGGTCTATAATGCAGCCACAATCCCCCTGCTTTTAAACTAACAATTGAGCACCATCTAGTGTTGAGAAGTCATATCACAACAGCACTGCTCTGCATGCGATCAAAGCAGGATGGTCATCTGTTTCATCTAAGCATTTGATGTTTCTGAAAACAACAGTGAAAATGTGTAAAATGAAGATGCAACACAGTGCAGCACATCCGTTCTGGACAAACAGAGAGAATTTGTTATGGCACGGCCCCTGTTTTTCCGTCTCACCCAGGGGGAGCTCATCAGGGCTGGGTTCATACATGCTGGAGAGTGGCTTTGGTGCTGGGAGCCCTGTACTGCCGGAGGCCTGTTCTGTAAACACACATACACACACACACACACACAGGAGCCCAACTGTGACCAACCAATCACAGTCAGTGTAGCGGAATCATTTAAATAATTGTACATACACTACAGTTCAAAAGTTGGGGTTTGGTAGATTTTTTAAGAACTTTCTTATGCTCACCAAAGCTGCATTTATTTGATCAAAAATACAGTAAAATCAGTAACATTGTGAAATATTATTACAATTTAACATTGGAATTTTTATTTTAATATATTTTAAAATATAATTTTTGAATATGATGGCAAAGCTGAATTTTCAGCAGTCTTCACATGATCTTTCAAAATTCATTGTAATATCCTGATTTGGTGCTCAAGAAAACTTTATCATCATCAATTTTGAAAACGCTTAAAATTTTTGTGGAAAATTTGATTTTTTTATTTTTCTTTGATAAACAGAAAGTTGAAAAGATAATTGAAATAGAAATATTTTGTTACATTATGAATGCATTTACTTTCACTTTTGATCAATTTTATGCAACCTTGCCAAATAAAAGAGAAAAAAAAACTTTTGAAAAGTAGTGTAGGCTATACACCAGCCTCACACAAATTAACCAAAACAAACACAAGGGAAGAAGCCTCGACCAAGAAAAAAGTACAACCTGACGTGCCATATACACACACACACACACACACAGACACACACATAAAAATACACAGAGATTGAACAAACTGCAATTTACTACTCATTTACTGTTTGAAAGCCAACGATCTTGCCTTAATTTGGAAGCATCAGGCTCTGTAAACCTGCTTTTAGATGGCAAATGAGACACTTTTCAGACTCAAATGTCCTATTTTTGATTTGTAAAAATGGATAAAACCATGATAAAATCTGTAAGATCTTGGAAAAAATCTTTAAAAAATAACATAAAATCTCCTCCTGGTGGAAAAAGAAGACAATTGCTATCACACAAAGTGTAACTCCAAGCAGAAAAAACAAAACAAAAACAAATAATTAAGTAGATGGTGCCAGTTGTCAGATAAGAAGCATTGCCAGTTGTCAATTCCCAGCGAAGGCATGCAACTGATAAAATGTCTGATAAAATCTTGAATGCAACACAACTCACTTTGAATAATAGCATCTACCAAATGCACAAATGTAATGAATATTACGAATATGGAGGCAGTTGGGAGCCATAATTACCACTTCTGCAATCAAAAAAGCTCAAATATCACCTTGTCAGTGGACAAACCATCACACTATGGATTTAAAATCCTCTACACTGAGTGTTACAAAAAAAGAATGTGTGCACATAATCATATTTCAGGAGCTTAGGCTGCATGAGCCCACCTGCAGAGAACATGAGGGCTTTAATTCTCTCTGATGATATGACTCCATGCACAGCACAGAGTAATTATCCTACACCTTACTGACTAGCATTATGCACTGAGGTGGATGTGCTTTCTAACACACTACCCTGAGTTACAGTATTTCTCATTATCCTAATCCTCAGAGAAACAGCTGGAATGTTCCAACATAGAAGAGTTTTAGAATCTTCTATCTAAAACTCAAGAGAGAACGTCATCACTGTTCCAAAGCCTAGTGAGACACCTCACAGCCTTCTAAGGTAGTATCGTAACTGATAATAGCCACAGACAATTGTTTTTATTCAACATTTTTTGATATACGTTATCCTTCAAAAGTTTGGGGTGGTAAGGTTTTTAATAGTTTTGAAAGAAGCCTTTAATGCTCAACAATGCATTTTTCCCCACAAATATTGGTCCAATGCATTCTGGGACTGTCCTCTTCACAAATGATACATTGTTTGCTGCCGTTCAATCAAACCAAAATGACATAACTTACGACACTTCCTTTTAGAAGGGCCTTTATATTTCTAAAAAGTTTTCAAATGCTGCACAATGATTGATGAAGGTTCTCTGAGAGATAGATCAAAGGTGTGGGGCATTCTTAGGTCATAAGTTATCCAATGCTATGAATCTGGGTTTCTGAGCTGCAGACTGCCATGCGGACTGTCAGCTGGCAGTCTAATAGCTGACATATGTGAGACGGTTCATCTGAGGGAAGAAGTCACAAGAGATCAGAATAACAGAATGAAAGTTGTGCTAAGAATACACACATACCACAAAACATTAACCACTACGAAACTCACTATGAACATCATGTATCCGATGCAAGAACTAAGACACAAAAACCTTCATTTTGATGTCCATGAGGAGCATTAAGTGATTAGCTTAGCAACATGCTAATGTTGTTATAGCCTATGCACTGTTATATGCACTATATAAGTACATATACATATACATGTATATATATATGCACTATAGGTATATGCATATATAAGTGCACCTATGCACTTTCAAGGCAGCTTACGAGGTTTTGGATTAGAGTCGCCACGGAGTTTCAGGACACTCACTATTTTCACTGCCAATGTACTACATGCTGCACACAAGCAGTGTGCTGAACTGCTGTATTATTGTATGCGAAGGCAGAGATAAATGAAGTTAATGTAAAGTAATGACAGGTGGGTGAGAAAAGGTCGTCCCCAGGGTTCCCACACAGTAGCAGGTCATGCAACCGTCTAACCTTTCTTTAAAAGCTGCTATTGTCTCCCTCTCTCAAATGCCATAAGCATGTCTTGTTGCCCCTGACTTGTTCTTTCTACACTGTTATTACCTGCAATTATCCAGCCTAGGTTAATAGCAGCTCTCATACTCCATAGCAGTGAATGGTAGGGAAATATCTTCAGTATAAAATGCACACTCACAGATTCAATCTAGAAACACCAGCCACGCTATATTTAGGCTGTCTGCGACCTCTCAGAAACAGAGGAATTTTCAACCTTTGGATTTGTGGAAAAGACAAGCATATATTGTGTTGTGCTGGTCAACAAAACCAACAGCTAGTCGTGTTAGTATAACATGGTCTTTTCAGCAGGATCTTTAATGTCTGGTGTTCTGAACTTTATTAATTGACTGCGACTTGGACAGGATTTTCACTCGGAAGGTCTCTTCCCTGACTCCAGACTTCTGAGGACATTCAACATGCCGTTTGAAGATTACAGACTTTGCCGGCAAACTGCTTGGAATTGTTATTAAAAGAAAAAATGAGAAAATATTTGCCAGCCACAGCTAATCTGCTTATTGTTACAAACGTAATGAGGGGAACGGAACAAGGAAGAACTGATAAACAAAACTGAAAATAAAGATGCAAATCCTCTCTCCTTGGTGGATACACAGTGCTAACGGGCTGCAGTGATAGTGATGGGATTGAACAGGTTTTATTAAAGCCAAGAAAGAGCAGAGGGTAAAGTCACTACAAATAACCACAACATATAATATGCTTCTGTGTCCTTCCTGTCGTTAAGAATTTCCTGTTTTCCTGCCTGTAAAGACCAACAAGATAATTAGCAACTGTTCACACTGCACTGAATGTTCATAAACTAAATCATGATTACTCAATTAAATTGGAGTAATTGTAAATAACTAACTAACTAACTAACTACTACTAACTAACTACTAATAAATAAATAATAACTAAACTAACAGCTTGCACCAGCGCAAACTGTCTTTTGGCATTAAAATAGTACTGTCAGGATTTACTTACTACTAACGAGCAGTGAAGAATTAGTGCTGAAAAGGCATGGACTCAGTAATTGTTGCGCCTGACCTTACTGTATATGCATTTGTAGGAGTTTCCCTTTCAGACGCAAAATTTATGGGAGGAGAGTATTAAAAACAATCACGCAACGCAGTTTACTAACATTGCGCACGTCAAATTACTGGTATTTGCCCCATTATTTAACACCCAAAACAGCATGTCTGTTTTGTACCTGTGTCGTAAGTAGATCACCCGCACCTGCACCTTATTTGTGACTATGCTAATTTGTGCTGCGCTTGGTATATTGCGTTGGTCGATATGTAAATGAGATGTTGTGTCTGTGTTCTTTAATTTGCGCGTTGTCAGTAAATCACCCGCAGAAATTTCCATGCCCATTGGTGCTGTTTTAGAATTGACCTATCGGTAAGCCCCTCCCCTTGAACGCAGATGAGCCAATGGCAGTCGAGTATCAGTTGCACGGGGAGTGGAACTCGGACATCTTTAGGTTTTAGAGACATAGAGAAACATTGGAAAATTCGATGCTTGCATCGGTTTGATGGTGTTTATGCTGCAAAAATGGAAAAACGATGTGCCAGGGGTACTTCTAACACTGATTCCAGGTATCCTGAGAGGATAGGCAATAGAATTTATTTTATTACATTTCCTAAACCCAACCAAAACAGAGCAAAATGTCCCTAAGCATTCAACCCCAATCCCAATGAAGAAAAAACTGTTAATTTTCTTGTTGTCATACACTCATTAAGTTACAATTTTCACCTGCTCAAGCAGAACATTAATGTCATCTTGTGCTTTAGCAAGGTATCTCTGGCTAAAACTAGCTAACGTTGAAGTTAGTGAGTACCATGCTAACGTACAAACCTAAATAGCAAACTGTTCTCACGTCATGTACAGTGTAGGGCAAAAACACATAAACGAAGGTCTACATTGCAGTGCCTGATATTATTTAGTTATATTTAACTGGTTAAATGTAAATTAATTTAATCGTACTCTGCAGTACATGAACAGTGTTGATCCTGCATGTTGTCATCCGCGATCATGACAACCGTAATATAAGACTTCTCCCGCTTGCATTGTGATCTGTAAACCCTCGCTTCGAATTACCCACCATATTTATTTTAAAACATTTTATATATCTCTCCATGGTATATTTAATTCCCACTTGAATGGTGGCCCTTCTGTGTCCAAAATTGTTCAAAAACATCGTGGGACAAGGTTTTCAGCAGCTCCGTTTGTTTGTCCAAGGGAGCAACAGTAACTAAGGGGGGCGGGGCTTACCGATAGGTCAGTTGCGCTCTTGAGCTAATTTGCTGTTTAGTAAATCTGGCCCTAAGTCTCTTTGCCACTATAAATTGATACGTTTTCAAATATGCCAATTGTTTTCATTGCAATT